GGGGGTGAGATGTGAACGCTGGACGATCCATATAAGGGTCGGATTCGAACCCCCAAAGAGATGGAATGTGTTTTTGTGGAAAAGTCCGGTTGTCAGGTATCTGTTGCGCTTTGTTCTGTTCGGGATATCGTGGATCCAGAGTCTTGAGTTGCTTCATCACTTCACTACTACCAATCATACCGTTCAACAACTACAACAACAATGGGTATCTCCAGCTCGTCCTCCGAGCACAGTACCAACGTCGAGCGGAAGAATCCCGTCGTCGAAGGTATTGATATCGAACGACACGCCGTTGCCGAATCCCATCTCGTCAACACCACGGTGAAGAACATCAGCTGGAAGGGCGTCACGGTAACAGTCAAGGACAGAGAGACGAAGGAACCAAAGAACATTGTCGACAATGTGGAGGGTATCGTAGAAGCCGGTATGTCTTCCCATTCCCTTTCGACCCACCTCTCAAAACGCCTTATCCACTAACACCTCTTTGTCTTTTTTTCCCCTTCACTAGGCGAGATCCTAGCCTGCATGGGCCCTTCAGGATCCGGCAAGACGACTCTACTCAACTTCCTCGCGTCCCGCCCCCTCCCTTCCGCCTCCGGCGGTGGCACCACCACCTCCGGGTCTGTCCTCATCAACGGCCAACCCACTTCCACCTCTACCTTCCGTGAGATCACCCGCTTCGTCGAGCAGGAAGATACTTTGATCGGGTCGCTCACAGTGAGGGAGACTCTCGACTTCTCGTTTCGACTTGCCAGCTCGTCCAAGGTTCTCCCCAAGAGGGAGAGAATTGCCAGGATTGAAGGATTACTTGATGCTTTTGGGCTGAGAGGGCAGAAGGATGCGCTGATCGGCACGCCGATTCGCAAGGGAATCAGTGGTGGGCAGAAGAGGAGGGTGAGCGTGGCAAGTCAGTTGATCACCAGTCCGAGAATTCTGTTTCTGGATGAGCCGACGAGTGGGTTGGATAGTAAGGCCGGGTGGGAGGTGGTCAAGTATTTAAAGGAGGTTGCGAGGAGGAATAATGTGAGGCTCCTTCCCTTGTGCTGATATTTACCTGGTTCAGGGAACTCGTGGCTAACAGAAACAAACAAAACAGTTGGTCGTCATTGCTTCGATTCACCAGCCCTCCACAGCAACGTTCAATCTCTTCGACAAGCTCATGCTCCTTTCCGCTGGCAAGATGCACTACTTCGGCCCTGTCGCGGGCGTTACGGAGCACTACGAGGCCTTGGGGCACGAGGTGCCGCTTCATGTCAATCCGGCCGAGTTCCTGCTTGACTTGGTCAACATCGACTTTGCTTCCGAGCGCGAGGAGGCAGTCAAGGCTTTGGATGACATGCAGACTGCTTGGCAAGGATCTGAGAGATCGAAACAGTTAACTGCCGCGGTAGCCGAGGCAGAAGCCAGAGGTGGTGAGCAAGTTGATACCTCTACCGCCGGACTTGGGGGAAAGCCGGGCTTAATCGGTAGTACGGCAACACTACTCCATCGGAGTTTCGTCAAGAGTTATCGAGACGTAGTAGCGTATGGCATCAGGGCAGCAATGTACTTTGGTCTCGCCATCATGGTTGGTACTGTCTGGGTGAGACTGGATGCTGCTCAAGAGTCTATCATTCCTTTCATCAACGCTCTGTTCTTGTAAGTCTTACTTTCTCTTACCATTTCTTCTCTATCTCCGTGCTAATCATGGCTTCATTACCACCAGCGGCTCCGCCTTCATGTCCTTCATGGCCGTCGCCTACTGTCCCGCCTGGCTCGAAGATTACTTCCAATACGTCAAAGAACGTCGCAACGGGCTCTACGGCCCTACAGCCCTGATCATCTCCAACTTTCTGATCGGCATCCCCTACCTCTTTGGTTTTTCCTTGCTGTTCTCCGTCATCTCCTACTGGCTTGTTAACTTCCAACCCACAGCGACCGCCTTCTTCACCTGGGTATTCTGGCTCTTCTGCGACCTTTTGGCGGCAGAAAGTCTGGTGGTATTTATGTCCTCGCTCTTCCCCTCCTTTGTTATTTCCCTTGCCTTGGTCGCCTTCGCCAACGGCCTGTGGATGAGCGTCGATGGGTTCATGGTGCAGCCGACGATCTTGAACGTGTTTTACAAATACGTGTTCCATTACTGGGACTATCAGAAGTATGTGTTTGAGAACATGATGATTAACGAGTTCAAGGATCGGGTGTATACGTGTGGAAAATTGCCCGAGGGAATGACGGGTGTTAATGGGAGCAATTGCCAGTGCATGTTCCAGACTGATTTGGCGGATCAGTGTCTGATTAGGGGGCAGGGCGTGTTGGATCAGTATGGATATAAGCCAGGCAAGCAGGGGAGGGATATTGGGATTATGTTTTGTATCATTGTTGGGTGGAGGTTGGCTGCCTGGGTGGTGCTGAAGTTGAAGAAGTGAATTATGGGGGTTTGTAGGTGGGTGAGCAACGCGGGTTGTTTTTGGCGAGTTGTGTTTTATTAGCGGCAGCCTGTTTTGTTTTGTTTTGTTTTATTTGTTTTGTTTTGTTTTGTTTTGTTTTGATGTTTGAGAAGGGGAAGACGTATGCGCACCCTGCGATTTACTTTACGTAGAGGTACTCTACCAGTTTCGTAATCTTTCATAATTCTTGACTACCACAACCATATCATCGTCCAAAACCACCGTGCCCCAAAGTCGATTGCGCATATGCCACATATTCGGAAGAGGTTTTGTATTTCATGATTTTCCTTCCTAACTCATTATCAAAAGTCCAATCCCATACTCGAAATCCCAGAGCCTCGGTATTACCCCGTTTCTGTATCCCCCGTCAACCCACCCTCAGTCCCATCATGCAAAACCGCATCCTCCCTAACGGCCATATACCACCCCGGCGTCCACCCAGGATGTCCCAATCGACTCTTTAACCAACAAGTTTGTTTCCCATTATAGTTCCCCCACCCAGCCCCGATACAATTGTCCACCTCGGCGCACCGATCAATGCACGTCTCGATCGAGTCGGACTCCCGGTGCGTGATCTCCTCGGCTCCGGCTAGCGAGTTGTAGTCTCGGTCGCAAAGCAATAGATAGCCCTTCCCGTGGCTGGACGATGTGGTCACAGTATCGTTGGAAGGCGCATACAGGGTCAGGTTGTTATTGGGGCAGATGATGGATGTTGAAGGGGTGATGGTGGCGTAGGCGGTGGGTGGGGGGAGGTTGGCTGTGTGTGTCCAGGAGGGGTGGGCGGTGGTTGTTGTTGTTGTTGTTGTGGTTGGCGTCGGGCTGAGAGAAATGCAGCTAGTTAGTGATGAACCGAAAAACGATTTTGGGGTGGGGAGATGCAAGATAGGAGATGAACGGAACAGGCCCGGCCAAGGACAGCGAAGACGACTCCACCACCGCCCCGTCTCCGACCCGGAGGGCCCAAGGCAGGAAAGGTGGAGTAAGTCATGCCCCGAGCCTACCCCGGCCGTTCATGTTCTAACGGTCATGTTTCCTCAACCTGCATCCACCTCCAAAGGCAAGAGAAAAAGAAAAAAAAGAACAAACTCACCTATTCTCATCCTTCTTACCACCCCCCTTCCCAGCACCAACACCCACCCCCACCCCCACCGCGACTCCAACCACAATCAGGAAAATCCCAATCGCCAACAACCACCAAGCCACCTGTCTCTTAGTCCCCAGGCCACAACAGTAGCGCTTATTTTTGCCGTTGTCATCCCCGTCGCCATTACCAGCTTCCTTGTCGTTTATCCCGGCTGCGGTTGATTCCGCAACCGTACTTATCCCAGGTACCGAGCCAATGTTCCCATATTGTGAATCTCCGTACGGTTTAGCAAGGATGTATGCCTGGTATGGAGAGGCGCTCGAGATGGTGGATGTTGGCTCATAGGAGGATAGCTTATCGTCTTGGACTTGGTGAGGGCTGACTTCGAGGGTGGAGTGCGGAGCGGGTTCTAGGCCTGGTTGGCCTTCTGGGTGATGTAGCTGTTGCAATGATGAAGGGTGATCATGAGGAGAGGGAGCTCGTTCAATGCCTTGGTAAGGAGCATGTTCCCAGGGTGCTAGCTCGGGGGCGTTCGCGGCCGCCCGGCTGGATCTGTCTTCCATTGTTCTGAGGAGGTTGGGTTAAGGTTGTTCTTGTTGTTGTTGCTGTTCGTGACACAAACTCGGAGTGAGCGTCAGCCACGCAGATAATCTTGCTGTTGTCGCCAAGCCAGGAACTGGATGCTATCGGCGTTGCTTCATCCGTCACATATGAAAGCCTGTTTGAGATTGTTTGGAGACAGACAGATGGATGCATGGGAAAGGGGAAGAAAAAGATCCTCAGGGCTGAAGGGACTGAGTGCAAATGACAGGCAGAAAGCCCGAGGATCCACCGTGACTACAACCATGTGCTACTGTATGCAGTAGGTTGTACACGGTAGACATTAAGATAACGTCTGGCTGAGTGGGCGCTTGAGCTACTGCACCCATCCCCAACATTGTGGACAAAACATGTTGGTGGTAACTGACGACAGCCTATCAAAACAAGCTTTTTTGGCGATCCTGCTATTCGATCCTTCCTGCAGGGCTCTCACCAAGATCCAGTTCGAGGTCAGCTTACCCTTACACGACAACAAGGAGATCTTACGTCCGGCTACGTGTCTCTCTGATTGGTGATCTTTACGATAATTGCCATAGTGCTGACATACGATTCACCTCTGGATAACTGAACAGAACTGCCCAACTTGACGATGGGGTTTCTTTCTTTGACCATGTGTACATGTTGTTGCGTTGTAGGTTTTGACATCAAGAACACCACATTCTAGTCACCTGGACAGCCAAAAGAATTACCACTACAGCCCACTATACACGAACGATCCTACAACACATACCAATAAGACAAGCTTCGCACTTCATCGTTGCCTCAAATTTTGTTTGTGTACCTGGCCAGTTAGGGTGTTAGTGGACCACTAAAGGTGAAACAAGCGCTGAAAGGTTACCAATAGCAAGAGTGCTTTGCCGCGCCTACGCTGCCTAGGTCGTCTGGGGGAGGTTACCCGATCCAGCGAGCGCATCAGAAACTTTAATTTGAAATGACAAAACTCTCTTGATTGTGCTCTGGCGAAGACGATGAGTTAGAGATGATGACTTGGCGAAAAGGGGTTCTGAATCATGATCTCGCCAATTCACTCTTTGTGCTCCTCCAAAGTGCGGCTGACCAGACTTGTGTACCCCATCAACCATGTTGTGCACCACAAGACAGACGGGTGCTGCTCGGTGGCACCCGAGGTAGGTACACCATGGTGCGGAGAGGTGGGAAATATTTATTATGATCATTCTTTGGGCCTTCGGTATACGGTTTGTATTGCGGCACGATGTTTCCTTGGGTATTTTCTTCATCTAAAACCGATGTTGAATGTGCTCGAGATGCGGGACTTGGTCCGTTTCTAAACAGTTAATCGCCTTGGTCAGATATTGGCAACTTCCTCACTGGGTTGGCAATAACTCACATCAACTCGAACAGGCCTCTTGTTTTTCTAGTGGCTTCATCCATCTTGGATCTAGTGATGCATGTCGCTATAGCTACCAAATTGAGTCAAGGAGCGCCCCCCATAACTTCAAGGTTTTGGCTGATTGGTAGTAGAAGTAATATCTAATTTCCGATGAGCATGAGAGACCACTTGCCAATAGCAAAGTACGCTAATGCTTTCAACATCCATACTCGGCAGGCAGTCACAGGTTGTTTTGCCGGCATCCTGAATTAAAATTAGAATGTTTGAATCAGACGTGCATGAGAAAAAAAAAGAAAGGATGGGCGATTGAAATGGGTAAAAAATGGAACAATATATCAAAAACAC